GAGCTGGGCATATTCCGAGCAACCAGGCGCTGCTCTACTCGCCACACTTACCGACCTCAACCTCCACCGTTTCCAACTCCACCAAGCCTTACACACTTTCCACACACTTCAAGAAACGCCTTTTTGGCATGATCCGTTTCAACAAGACCTGCCCATCCCGATCACCCAACTTTTGAGCAGGTATCGCACACAGTACCGACCCAGGGCCTTTCTCCTGGATCCCAACTTGGATCCCAATCAACACCCAGCGGAACCATCCATCCACCCCATTAGCCGGGACAACAGCTCGCTCTGACCAACATCCCTTACCAACTCCACACACCACCCACCCGGCCTATCACTCAGCAATGCCACCACCCAAACTTCCCCTTTCACCGTCCTCCGCCTCCACCACAAACAGCAAACATCGCCTCCGCCCACTCCCCTTCGGCTTCATCAGGACCAACAAACCTCCCCTCCACGGCTTCTCCACTTTGCCCAATCACTCTTGACACTCCATCCCAGACCAAACTCCATGCCATTGCACTCTACCCATCTTTTGCTCGCCAAATCCGCAACCCTCGCCCGCACCTGCCCCTTCTACAACCACAAAGACTTCAGCGCCACCCCCCAGCATCACTTCAGCGGCCAACAAGCAACCGAGCGCAGACAATTTCCAGCACGCCGACCTGATTCCTGGGCCTGTGCTACCCAAGCTTCCACCACCACCGCCACTGCCCAGTGATTACCAGAATCCAGCTCTCAGACTCCTCCACGAACCAACAAAGCACGGCCGCAAGATCCGCGCCGAGGCTCCCCTAACCCCCGCTCTCGCTCCACTCGACTTTCCTCCCTCCACACCCGAACCTCAGCCATCAAACATCGGCCCCTTTCACCAGCCACCGGCTCCGGCCGGCATCCATGCGACCAATCCCATCCCCATGTTTGGCACTACTTCCCCAGCCCCACCACCGCCTGGATGTACACAACACCTCAACCGTCACCGGCCCCTCATCACATCCTTGGCCCACTCCCATGGGATACTACCACTACCTTCTTCCACAGAGCAATGTGCCTTTGGTGGACGCAACGGGACGCGCGCTGCCTTATTCCCAGCAACCATATGTCCCCGAAGACGACCGGACAACTGAGGCGACGGATGGCCAGGCAATCAGCCTTGAAGAGCAGTGGTATTAGCTTGTTTACACTTTCTCTGTTCTCAACCAACGGTACAGTTTGGATTCGCTTTTTATGACCAAGCTACCTTACATCCCTCCGTCAGCCAGATATAAACCACTGCAGGTCACCGGCAACCGCTTCACTTCACACCACGAGAAAACTTGCGGGGCGTCGGACTTCTTTTTGTTATGACATTGCTCATGCCACAACCAACTTACAGGAGATTGTCATTCTCAATTCACCTTCTCTCATGATTTTTGGTATTTTTCGACTTCTGTTAGCCACTCCAAGAACCGCATGATCCAAGCTTTATATGAACTAGGTCAACGTCGATTTTCTTCTTGTCAGGACCATTTTTTCTTTAGCTCTTGTGCTCAAAATACCATCAGTCATTCCGCCCTCGTTTCGAGTGCCTGCCTCTTGTTCAACATGGACGCCAACTGGCAACAGTTCTATTGGCAGCATTACCTTCAGCAGCAAGCACAAGCAGCTCAGGCGAATCCACAATACTCGCCAACAAACACTTACGGCCCAATGACGCATGCGATCCGCACACAGCAGGCTCACCAACACCATCCTTATCAACCATCACCCACTCCGCCAACCCCACAACCTCCTCTCCGCCACACCAGTTTCCCCCACCACCTCCACCACCTCCGCCACCTCCCGCCCCGGCAGCTCCGGTCACCCACTCGCCAAGCTCGGCCGCGCAACCATCAAGTCCCTTCAGAGCCTGGTCAGCATTGGTGCAGCACTCGCCTGTTGACTTGGCACCCTCGGCCAGCAGTCACCCAACCCTACAAACATGCACCACGTTTTCCACCTGCACCGAGCCCTTTCCACCCTCGTCCATCAATCCCAATACATTGAACGTGATATGCTTCCCCACACTTACCACTTCCACAACTTCCTCTCCTCCAACTCAGTCTACATCAAACTACAGTTCAACATTCAAACGCCTCATCGCTGCTATCACCAACATGGCCACTTCTACATCGGCTCTGCCATTGGCATCCCCCAACACAATCGCCGCGCCAAACTCAAGCAACTCCAAAACAACATCCCAGTCTCAGCCGAATTGTCCTTACCCTACTGGCATGCACACAACAACATTCACCACTACACCACCATCCAACTTTCCTCTCATGACACATACGACCAGGCCTGGATACATGAACACAACCATATCTCCAATTGGATGGCCCCCCTCAATTGGCCTTTTATTTCACACCACCTCAGACTGAAAGCCCAAGGCTCACATCTTACAAAACATCACGCTCACTTCTACTCTCACTTAACCACTCACAAACGACTTTTCCGTCGGCTACGTCGACGACAAAACACCCTCCGGGAACCACACCTCTTTACCTCCACCAAGCACCATGCCCTGACTATCCTTCGAAACATGCGTCCGCCTCTTTCGAAGCTGCCAAACAATTGCGCAGCGGCCGCCGTACCGACATTGAAGTCTACGCTATTCGACGCATGGCCGCCAATCTCGAAGAGCCTGGCAGGAGTCGCGCCCTCCACATCATCCACTTAAGCACTCAAGTACCGGAACCTGACACCACCACGACCCAACCTTCCACTCACCGTCCCTTTCCTCGCTCACGAGGACTTTCTCAAGCATACTCAGCAATGACTGGCTTCAAACCACTATATCCAGCAACACAAACACCTCGCCATCCCCTTGCGTTTGCCCTTAGCTCCTGACCGGTGTCAGCACGCGACGGTAGTTGATTGGCACCTGGGTGAGAGCCTTAGCTCCTCGTCTGCCACCCACAGGCTTCGCGAAGCTGCCCACAAGACATCACGATCCCAACTACACAATCGTCGAACATGGGAGGAAGCCCTCCACACTCCTCCTGATCCAGCCGATCTCCCCTGCTCTCACCTCCACACTCTTCTCCTCCACCCAGACACGCCCACCACCAACCGACATTACATTCTCACCCTTGATCAACTCAACTTGCCGCCACATCTCCGCATCTTTCTGGACGCCAAGATGAACAGCACTTAAGCTCGATACTTTCTCATCTCTCAAGCAGCCTTCCACAAGTGGCTCAAGCTTTAAGGCCTTCCAACTTCCCTGACTCAACACTTGGAACCTTTTCTACAACATCAATGGCGCCTCCACGTCACCCACCTGCCCGCCTCCTTCGACAACTTCAAGCCTACCTCGGCGATCAAGTCGTGCTCCACCATGCAGACCACGAAGCTCCGTGCGTTCTGCCCACGTCAATATTTCATAGGAGCCCTCAACACATGGAAAATTTTCGAACCACTACCCCATCTCACCCCCAGCAACATCCACGAACATCTTACAGCTACCATTCCCCCCGGCCTCCGCTCCAGATACAAATGGGGCTTCTGTAAGGACTTCGCAATACCATACGCCATTGTTCACCTCAAAGCCAAGAAGCTATGGCAAAAAGGCCGCACCATCATCTCATATGATCAATCTATGGCAGGCAACCTCCTCCGCATCACCAGTCGGGCTCTCGACATCATTCTCCAGCACCTCTTCCCACAACACCCGGGACAACTCTCTATCCCACAACTCTGGCGTCACTTCCATTCTTACCTCTCCCAAACTCCGGCAGACATCACCCTACATGCCACCAACGATGACCTGGTAGGCTTCTTCAATTCAGTTCCTCAACACTGCTTGATCGATGCCATACACTCCCTGGTCCAGGAGTGGCAAACCCAGCAGTCGACGCATACCCTCACAGTCGACACCAAAGCCACTGGCAATCCATTTCACCACTCCCACATTGGCAGACATCACACTCAGCATCCTACACAGCGCACTCTCCACACATCCGACATCACTACCATCGTCACTTTTGCTCTCAACACCTGTATTTTCTGGGCTTGCAACAACACCTACAAGCAAATCCGAGGCGCTGGCAACGTGGCCATCACCCTCATCGAACACTCATGGCACCAGCTACACAACAACCTTCTCCACCACACCGACCTCCATTCACTTACTCCCGCTATGTTGACAACTGTTTCATTGCGCACAACGAACATTTCCTGTCACACCCAGCCATCCAAGCCCTCATCCACCACAACTTTTTCGGCGACCCCGTCGAACTTGAAACAGTGGATGACTTCCACCTCTTGGGCTTCAACATTGACCTCCTCCAGCGCACCATCACCTACATCCAACCCACCCAACCCTGGTTCTACAAGCGCTGGCAGCCAACGCCTCACATTGTCCGGTGTCGCCTCCCGACTCCACGCCATTTACACTTACACATTCCCTCCACAAGCAGCAGCTGCCGCGGCCGAAGAGCTGGTCCACCTGTACGTCCTGAAGGGACACGCAGCAAGAGACTGCGAGCGATTTTTGAAGTCACCGAAAAACAGCAGCCACGTTTTCCACTTGCGCCGGAACCGGCTTCATGTGTGTGTGTGTCAACCTCTGTAACTAAGAGTTCCCTTTCCTTTTTCTACCTTCACTTTCAAGCAGGGGCGTGCAGCATCTGTGGTCCACTGCACGCAACGAAGCTACGACCACAGATGGGAAGGGATCAAGGATGCTTGATCCTGTACCTGCAGCGTGACACTACTCCAATCTTTCTGCGCTGTGGTTTGCTTCCATGGTTGTTCACACGATAGACCCCAAAACTTTTCCCACCGCTGCTGATCAGTCACCGCCGCTTTCCGCGAGAGTGTTTGCGAGCTTCTTGAAAACAATTTGTTCAAACGCCTTCAAATGCCTGGACACTTCACCTTGCGGTTCCATCGCCTTTTTTCCACTTGGGAATTGAGTTAACTGAAAACCAATGTCAGAGTGTGCGTTCTAGATTCTAGATATTTCTTGTGCGCACCTGGTCACAGCCCATGCCACCAATGGCAACGTAGGTGTCCTTTGCAGCCATCGCTGACACTACAACGTCCGAGGCAACACTCTCGTCGCACTTGTCATCAAAGAAGACGTGCTGCAATCGATAGCCTGGGAGCAGCAGTTGGTCCTGGAAGGTGAAACAACAGCAAAAGAGAACAAACGAGTCCTGAGTGAGTCCTGTTCCAACCAGTTCGCAGGGCACTAGCCTTCCGTTTCGCGCCCAACCGTAGCAGGTTGGTCGCGCGCCTCAACTACACATCTTCCTTTTCAGCTTTTGGATCCCATCCTGGTTGATGATTCCCTCAGCCAGGCGTGCAGCAAGGCGGAAGGTGGTGCCAGCAGCCCAACTCCCAGTCAGTGGCAACGGCGTGAGCACTTCGAGCGCGAGCATGGTGGTTGTGCGGGTCGTGGTGGAGAAGTAGAGATTCACGGCTTGCGACGCTTCAATGGCATCATCTGCGAGCTCAACAATGCCCTTCAAGGCTGATTGATCTACAGCCAAACCCTGAGAGATGGATTGGACTGTTGGCTTTAAGGCAGTCCAGGCAGTGTCTACTGCATCCAAGAGCTGAAGGCCTTCAAAAGACCCTGTCTGTTGTATGTCGTTCATGGCAAGTCTTCGATTCAGATTGCCCTCTCGAAGCAAGGCCTGGTTGTGTTCGAATCTGGTCATGCTGGTGATCAGCCTCACGCGTAGAGAATCAAAGCCACCCACGTAGATCAGCACCAGATTCCGTTGAATCTTCTGCATGATTGCCAAGTTCTCAGCTGCAAGTCGCATCTTAGCACCCTGCAAAGATGGCTCTTGCTGATAAGCTCCTGAGAGGTTCTTTCTTAAATCAGGGGGGGTTGTACCAAAAATATCATGTTGACATAATATGTTGACTGAAAACAAGCCCTGCAGAATGATAGAATGGATCGATCACACACAGAAGAAATAAACGTGAAAAAGCGAACGACAAAAAGGACCTTCTTCTGCTGGGCTTCTTTCTTGCACCGCATCACTCAGTCGGCTCGCATAGCGATCAAAGTCATCGGACCGACCGAGAATTCGGTTCAAGCTCTCCATCGATGGCGCTCCGAGGAGGTCGCCTCGTATCGACTCGTAGGTGTCACTGAGTTGGAACAGTTCATCGGAAATCTCTTGCGTGGCCGGTGGATTCAATGACTTCTTCCTCTCACCGAACTTGAAGTCTTCCAAGGCGTTCTGGAGCTCTTCCACGGTCTCCTGCAGCCGCGACGACGAGTTCCTGGGCGTGAACTCCGGCGGCAGCTGCGTGCAGAAGACGCCAATGACCTGACCCGCACGCCGCACGCCGGTGGAGAGGAAGGAGGCTAAGGCGCCGTTGGAGGGACCGTAGGGCTTCCAATCCACCACGTTGATGCCATCCGGGTTGGCCACAGCGGCTCGGAAGGCTTCACCCAGACCACTGTCCTGACAACGTGGTGACAAGGAGATGACTGAGTATCCAAGAAGCAAAGCAAGCAAGATAATTACCATGTTCGTGTTTTGTTGCGTTTCTGGGGAATGTGTTTGGTTTGGCATCCTTCCATTCTCCGGGTCCATCTGCAAGGAAATTGGTGGCATAGTCCAATTCTTTGTAGACGGAATAGATGAGGTTGCCGCCCATGTCGAAGAAGAAGATGTCGTAGTAGTTGTGATCGTAGAGAATCGCCCTATATGTTGGATGGTACTGTGCATGAACAGCATGGTACTCTTCAATCCCATCTGCACGGTTCAGCTTGTCCTTCTCACCGGTGGGGAAGGGGTTGAGCAAGATGTAAGCGATTTGAAGACTGAGAAGTCTTTCGGCGTCCGTCTCTCTGAAGGCATCCCAAGCTTGCTTGAAGTTCCACAGAGCATCAGCCAGACCAGACTCGGAGGCCTCAATCACCAGGTAATTCTTGTGTTCTTCCAAGCCCATCGCTGATGCATTGAGCCAACTCTGTGAGAATCCATGCGTCAACAGGGCAAACTCGGTGCTCGTCTTGAAGAACCTCCACCTCAACTGATTGGTCTCCTCCATCATGATCTCCCAAGACCTTGCATCAAGGACGATGTTGCAGGTCCCATAGCCTGCCGCATAGGAAGCCACTGCCGAGTCGATCACACTGATGGCGGTCTGCAAGAAGGGTTGCATCTCACGAACTTCCACGGGCTTCGACTCGGGTGGCATCTGGGTGCAAAAGACCCCGATCAACTGGCCATCCTGCTTGATGCCGGTGGATAAGAAGCTGGCCAAAGCACCTGCGGTCGGCCCGGCAATGGGCTATAGGGATGATGTGAACCGACCCTATTAAGCTTTTGGATTTGTCTGGTAGTATGTATAATCTACTGATAGTGCAACGTTAAGGTTATGAAATTGGGATATTTTGGGGTGCTTGGTCTGTATAAGGTCTGTAGACGTATGTGCCCTTCACCCCACCTGAGCTCGGTCCATAAGGCTTCCAGTCGATGATATTGATGATGTCCGGGTTCCTCACGGCCGCCCGGAAGGCTTCTCCCAAACCACTGTCCTTCCATTCACCACTTCCATGGGCCAAGAAGTTGGTGGCATAGTCCAATTCTTTGTAGACGGAGTAGATCAAATTCCCCTGTAGATCGAAGATGAAAATGTCGTAGTAGTTGCGTTCATACAAAATGGCTCGATAGGTGGGATGGTATCGCTGGTGTGCAAGGTGGTAATACTCGTCTCCTTGGGCATGATCCAGATTATCCTTCGAGCCGACGGCATTGGGATTTGCATAGATATAGGCGATTTGCAGATCCCGCATTCGAAGGGCATCTGAGGGTCTGAACTCATCCCAGCCTCTCTTGAAAGCAAGGAAAGCATCCACCAGCACCGGACTGGCTGCTTCTGCTGCAATGAAACCAAGATGACTGTTCAAGAAGTCCTTGGAGCCGTACATTTGGATCAGAATGCTCTTCAGGGCCTGAAAGCAGGCGAAAAGCGAAACCTTTTTGTCTGACATGCTTCTCATGGGAAATGGGTCAGTCAAAAGCTTTGTTTGTCCCAAGTCAACCAAGTTTGGTCGACAACATTCACAAATTCGTCCATAAAATCGCACGGCAAGGCAGTGCAACACACCTTGTCCCTGCCTCATAGTCTGTTTTCACTTTGGCCATCGTGCTCAAAATGCACGCGTCGGTGGTGCGTGGAACTGGTACCTCTGCTGCCAATGCTGAGCCTCCAGCCCCACGTAGCAGTTCAGAATGAGTCTTCTCGAAAGACATGGCCATGAGATCAAACTTGTCCTGAACAAGTGACCAAGTGACCAAGTGACGTGAAAGGGTCAACAAAACCCGTTCTGCTTTTTGCGGGGCTATACCTCAAACATCTTAATTAAGTCTCTTCAAAAGTGCTCAAAATGTTCAAAGATGTTCAAAGTGTATCCATTGGCCAAATGTGCAAGTCTCTGTCTTTCCTTGAGCAGTGTCCCCTACACTGATGATTAAGGCCTCCTTCGCTAAGCTTTCCAGCATTGCCCGATTCTGCTGGATCAACTGCCAAAGGATGGCCCGTGACTCCCCTGCGTTACTTGCTGCACGAACATAGAGGATGCCCACCTGAGGTTTGGAAAGCTCTCTCGTTCTTCGTTTGAACACTTCAGACCATATCCAATCCCAAAAAGAAGCAACCTGCCATAGTCGGCCATAGTCCAACCATTGGTGGACACTGTCACACCAGGCGCATCTCTAAAAGCGAGCAAAAGCACAATGAGACCACAAAACACAATCCTGGCCTCTTCGAGGTGACGATCAAGCTCAAAGCTTTGGTTGGTCATATGTTCCTGCGAAATGCTTGTCTCCTTCTGTATGACTCGTTCCAAGTTGCGTTTGTACCCGAGCCATGCATCATAGACCGTCTTGAGCAACTCCACCAGCTCTTGTGTGGGGGCCACTGGTACATGCGTAAGATATGAACCTGGTATCGACGACTCTCCCAGGCCGACAGCCCGGACGAGCGACTTGACTCATCGACTCGAGTCATCGACTCGACTCATCGACTCATTCTCATCGGGAACAAAAGATGTCAAAGTGGTACAGTTTAAAACAAGAGCCGGGAGTTCCTATACGACTCTCCAAAATGATTTTAACATATTTAAACTTATTCCATGTCATCCGCATGTAGTCGAAGGACTATCGCATAATAATGCGTAAACAATTTGACACTTTCAAGAGCCTTTGTAGGCATTGGCGATTGCCACTTGCCCATCTGACATAGTCTTCGTCAGCCCCAAGAGCTCCTCGTCCTGGCTGCTATCGCTCGCCCTGGTGGCCAAGGCCTGGACGAGGAGCTAAAAGAACTTGATGCGAAGGAAAAGGCATCTTATTGAACATTAAATATGACATAATTACGAAATTCATGTGTATAGTATATTATACTATATTATATATATATATATTGAACATTCTTGAATCCTGAAACATATTGACACATTAAACTAATCATAACGCATCATTAAACAGGCGCGATCTCTAAGCTCCTGTCTAAACATTAAAGAACACTTTGGCTGACTGGTACGAGCTTAGAATGGCATGAAAACAAACGGATCCAAAGGAAATCAAAAGAATCTGTCTTTGGGGGGCAAAACTTCCCTCGTTCCCTACTAGGCACCGGTCAGAAGTAGGTGGACTATGGTCTGGGGTGCCTCGCCGGCGTCACCTAAAACGCGCACGAACTCCGTGCCTGCATGTAGATGCGAGCGGCTTTGGCGACCAGCTGTCGGAATCGATTCACTTCTTGGATGCCATTTCTCCACAGGGCTGCATCCATACCTTGCAAGGGATTGCAATCAGGCTGATCAAGCTGATCTATGAAGGCCTGCATAGTGGCTCGAAGGAGCAGTGAAGCCTGGCAAACAGAATCCATGATGCCTTCGGAGCTCACAGAAGTCTCCAGATTTCGCACCGGTTGCAGTTGGGTCTCGAATTCAAACCAAATCTTGGACACCGTCAAGACTTTTTGCAACGGGCAAACATTGGTAAGATCTGGAAGATCTGCAACTACATTTCCCCAGATGATGCTTTCGAGAAGAGACGAAAAGAGCACCTGCAAGCCCTGCAACTCTTCAAGGTGTTGGGCCTCTGCGATGTTGAGCAAAATAAAGCTGCACTCCACCGCAAGCCTTACCGAATAGGAGAGAAGCCGATAGGCATAAGCTTCGACCTGTTTCTCAGCAATTCCAGCCATCTTGGCATATGCCTGATACTGCACGATCAACTGGTCATACTCCTCGACCAATGCTTTGTAGCTTGTGTCGAGATTGGTCAAGACTGCTGTTGAAGTAGAGGCAACACTACCGATGTTGCCACGAAGAAATGCGTGCATTGAGTTTGTGGTGTCTACAACGTGCTGCAACTGCGCAGCTGTTTCCGCATTTGGTGGCGCTACCAAATGCTTGCTTGGGTTGCCTGTGGTTAAATCACTCTGCGTCATCTCAATTGCAGTAAGCAAACTACTGAAGCTGCTGGACGTGTAACCACCGCGAGCAACGTGCACAAACTCCAGAACAACCAGAGAAGCTTCCATGTTCAACGTCTCGACCGTATGGAGAGTGTGCAATGGATCATCGGAAAGCCTCCGCACGACAAGGCCGTCGGAGTGGTGACTGACCTTGAGGCCTCGTTCTGGAACGGCCACTGCTGAGAGCTGCAACAGTGGTAGAAGAAAGTGAGCCTTGAAAACAATCATGGCCTTGCCATAAAACTTCTTGAAACTTCATGAAACTGCCGCTGAGCCAAAATGAAAGAAGTCAAGGCATCTGCTTTTGAGACGTTTGCGTACTTTTGCCCAAATGTGTTTGACGAAAGGCATGAAACAGCGTGCTCAGATCTGTCGTTTTGTTTCAGCATGGCTTGCTCAAAGAGTGGCCTGGAGGTGGTTGGACTCTGTACGAGTTCAGGACTCCCACGCAACCTGCCAGTGGGGTCGCACCTTTTATTGGTCGCGTCTCCAGTGAGACCCTCCCACCTGAATGGGTGGTGGCTGTGATGTAAAATGTTTGAGTACATGTTCCTTTGCACGGCGGATTTCATCGTTTCCATCTTCCCAAGAATTGGAAGACATCCATGGCCATGTTGGAGCGACAGTTTTCCTCCTCTGCTCTCTCTCTCTCTCTCCTGCACTTCCTGGCCTCCCGCGTCTTTGTTCATCGCAAGGTTTTACAACTTCCAGCCAAACATATGTTTACCACGTGCCACAATATGACAAACATATGTATATATATATATACCATGTATATATATGATACATATATCATATATATATATTATGTGTTTACCACAACTAGGTTTTAGATCGTTTCAGAGATAACGAGAGAAACACAAATTCACTAAACATCGGATTCACAGCCCCGGGATCACCTCCCTCGAGGTGTGCGCCGGGGGCTTTCTATCCTCAGCAGGCTGGATCCGGACCGCTTGAACGAGGTAGTATTGCTTGTGCTTCACTTAGGATTCCAAACTAAAGGCAGGTGGTAGTTTTTCTTCCTTTTATGACTTTTATGCCCTTAACTTAGGCTTCTCCAAAAGAAAAGAAGATGAGCATATCTTCATCAGCATTCCTATGTTGCGCAAATTGCTCCAAAGAACTTTCGTCTGCATTCATATGAGCAAAGATGCGCACTTTTCTGGCTATAGGATTGACAGCTTCGTTGTATAGTAATGTCGACTGATTGGTAATACTCCCACATGAAGAGGACTTTGAAACCAAATGGGATGGTCTATCAATCAAGAATCAAGAGTCTACATTATACTACTGTCCCCAAGAGACATCGAACTTTTGGTAGCCTTTTTGTGCAGTGCCCGACACAGAACTTCGCCCGCCCAGCGGCGGAGTACAGCTGCGACGTGGGAAACAGCCTGCGTCCTGGCCATCGGTGCAACCGTCGGACCTGCAAGGTGTGAACGGATGGGGGGTCAAAGTCGACTAGAAACCAAGCTACTGATCAAAATGGATCAAACATGGAGGACCCACAAAATCCCAGCAAAACCATGGCATTTGGCCCTCAGACCCCGAAAGGGCCAGAACGAAAGCGTTGGTCTCCGTTGGTCTCCACATCTTCGAACGACCGCACGTCTCGTTTCCGCCGGTCCTCAGCCACTTGACCGCGGATCGGCCCCAACATGGCATCTCCACCCCTCCGAGCTCCGCTTTCGTTCAGCTCCACGGGCGTCCGTGTGGTTTCTTTCGGTTCATCAGGTTAGTCTCGTGCTGTTCACCTCTACATGTCGCGACACGGGACACTCCCATGTTTCGTCGTCGTCCCCAGATAGTATGCGGTTGAGCTGTGCTGGTTCAAGGGTTCTGGAGCTGACATTGGTATTGCCTGCTACTACTAGTATGCACTAATTAAGGCGGATCAACTACTGGACTGTGGGGTGCCTATGGCATAGAATAGAAGGACTTTCATGATCTAGACAGTCTACCGCTTGCTGCATGTCTGTTGTGCCCTAAAGGGTCTTCACAAGACACAATGCACGCACATTGATGCAATCGCATACAATGACAATGAGCTGAAAACAAAACTTGGCAAGTCCCAGCATCAGAATGTGTACATATATTTAAAATCAAACCACCTAGCAATCATTCACCACAATGTGGAAAAGGCAAAAAGAAGGGCAAGGAGATACGCTAATCTTTTCAGCTGCTTTGACTGTCCAAGGTCACAAATTGCTTTGGCCGCTTTGGCAGTGCAAGAAACGAAAAGTGTTGGTCTTGAGGTTTTCCCTTCTTTCAGGTTTTGACCTCTTCATCATCTTGATTGTCATCTGCATCTTGATCTCGGCCTCATCTTCAGTGATTTCCTGTGATCGCCCCTTCGGTCTTCACCGCAACGCGGCCGCCCATCGTCCATGAGGCCGTGGCCGTGGCTTGAGGTCCCCCTTCTGGATTGACGAAAGGCCTTTCCGATCCAGGAAGGAGTTCCGATCAGTCGGAGAGAAGACACTTCTGAAGGCGAAATCATCTGACTGCGGTCGCCAGTCTGGCTTGTTGGAGATCTTGTGGACGATCTGCAGCAATGAACACAGCAGCACAATTCTATCTTTTAAAAATTAGCCAATGTGGTTTCCAACGCAAACTCCAGCTTCCTTCAGTGTTCGGATCAAGTGGGTGTCTATCAAGTAGGGAGATCCCTAACCAATGGGTTTGAGTAAAGGCTCTTGAGGAGGGATCAAATCGCAACAGCAGCGTGGTGAAGTACCCCTTGAACTGCTGGACACAGGGTTCGCAGGCCCAAGCTAGCATTTGACGAAATGTACGTGGTTCCAACCAAGATTTTAGCTTGCAGGTTCGACGGTCTTTGCAATCATCGGTTTTAGCTTGCTGTTTCTTTCTTGGTGTATCGAAACGCACAAGTGCGTGAGAAAAAAATGTGGTGCAAGTTGCTATGACTGTGGTAGTCTTCAGTGGCTGATTTGCTTGTCAAAAAGCTCGCGCCAGCAAGGTTTTGCTTGTGCTCAAGCTCTCTGGTGGGACTTGTGGGACTCGGGACGGACGCGCCACGCGCCACCGTGGCGCCAGGGGCGCCCTGAAACGACCGCGGCGCGGGTGGGTGGGACCGTGGCTGCGCGCAGCCAGTGCGCGGGGCCTGAGCCATGCACAGTGGCTGTGGGGCTGCATCGCAGCAGCTGTGTGTTTCACAGCATGTGTGTCGAGTGAGTCAAGAAAGAACATATCGCGCAGAAGGGTGCCCCCTTGCTCGATAGAGGAATATTGTCTTGCCCATATGTGGCCACAGGCGGTGCTTGATAAGTTTCCAGCATCCAAGTCGGTCTTCACTTATTGCTTTGGGATGATTGGCCAATCTGAGTTGTGTACAGTCAAGCCTCACCTTTCGGCGCGAGGCATTGATGACGATTTATCATGATGTATCGCTGTGTACTGGCAAGCCTGCTTTGGATCACACAGCCTCCCTTTTTTTGCATGAGTGAATGTTTAACATTTGGCGCCCGTCTTCTGCCCAGACCAGCAATAGGACATGGAGGGTCCGACTGGGTGTTTCCCAATTCTGACAGCCAAATCAGCTCATCCAGCCGAACGTAACGCTGGAAACTCAGTTCGTTCTGCACCAGTCAGTTCATCCAAACGTAATGCCCTAGACCTCCCCGCCTCGGGACACCGCCCTCCAACTGGGTGTCGCCCCTCCATCCGCTGCGCGTGGTGAAATGTTCGACCTCCAGTCGAAGTCCCGGGGCATCCGAGTGCCGAACCGGCCAAAAGGCTGGGATGGTGCAAAAAGAAAGAGGACACCTCCAATGGAATTGGCTTAGGAAAAGAGTCTTTCTTGATTTCACACTGAGCGTCTGACCTCTCAAGACAGCTTTCAAATCTGAAAAAATAGGATATAAAATATGATTATATATAACATAGATATCTTGTACCCTATATTATATCATATAATTAATAGATCATAAATATGATCTATCTATCTATCTATTTATCTATCTATACCAAGGGCTTCAGCCCCTTTGCAGGCAACACTTCCATCATCTTCTCCATCGACCAACCGAGGCGGACCCCTCGGCGGACCCCTCGGCCTCGACTCGATGGCTGCAGCGGTCAGGTGCTTTTGGGCTCAGCGGACTTGCGCTCGTTCCATCGGTGGAAGCGCTCGTGGAGCTCCACCACCTGAGCGACTGGGACTGGACCGACTAAAATGGTCGAAAGGCCCAGTTCGGTCGAAAGCTATATAACAGCAGCCCTCCGTCACAGGAATCAACAAAGATTCCTTTCAGTTCCACATTCTCTGCATTCCCCGCACCTGTTTGGCCTCCTCTTGAGAACTCTTCACCATGGCAGTCTGCACTTTTTGTCGAGGAGTACCTCAAATCTGGCTGGAAAGGAAAGACACCAGAAAGAATCCCACCGATTCGTACGCCTTACTTGGCGTGCAGGAGGACATGTCATGATTGTCATGAACAAACACACCTGGGCACAGATTGTCACTCATGGCGTGCGACGACCAATTGACAGATCGAAGGAACTGAGCCCAGCACCCACGTCAGACCACTCATCCTCATCCGACCTTTGCTTGGTGCCCAACAGTTGCGCTTCCAACTTCTGCAGCGATCGCAGCACCGCCTGGGACAGGCACAACAAACATGGGTAGATATGCATAGGGTTGTGCTGTTCTGTGAGGAAACTCCAGCTAAGCAATCTGGGAAATGTTGATCTTGGCCTGTGTAGAAGCATCCTCGCTGTCAATTTCGGCCATCTGTTCTTGCACCAAAGGCCTTGGTGACCATCTTTTCCTCACGTCATGTCTAAACATGTCTAAACCATACATCTCGATCAAAAAATGACCGGACCGAACAGTGGTTCGGTGTATTCTTTTCCCCCAAAGACTCCAGGACCGGATCCCTTTTATTCCGGATGGGTCCAGATCCGGTCCACCGCGGTCCACCGCGGTCCGAGGTGCAAGGCCGGCATGGCTCGCTCCAGTAGTTCTGCTTGACGCCCAGAAGCAAGCAATGCCAGGCACTCAGATGCCTGACGGGTGGTGTTTCTTCGGATGGACATGTGAATGGACATGTCATTTCGGGAAGCCTCTGATTCGAAACAAATGTGTCATGTGCGTTGAGGAGTGTTAGAATTTTCGGACATACCATGACATACCGACATATATCTTGGGTCTATTCAATTCCTACTCCCTGTGGTTTGCTGACGGCTGGATTTCATGCCTGTACCAGGATCATCTTCTGCCGGCAGCTCCAGACATGGGCAGACATGGACATGGCCCAGATCATACTCACGCACCCCTGTGCTTTTAACGCCAAGTTGCGGCAATCACAACATCAGGCCGTTGATTGTGACGATCCAGCGCAGCGATCAAAGCCTTTGCGATCTACAGCAGTCATCTCCAACAGCCAAAACGGTTTCTACAAACTTGGCGATCTCGACCTCCCCTTTGCTAGATCTCCACTCATCCCAACAACTTGCCAATTTCTTGATTGCAACGATTGAGAAGCTTGGGGACAATTGGCTTGTATTTCCGGAGCCAAAGAACATCACATTGGAAGACACTCTCACGCTTTTTTCGGAGTGAGAAACCCATACGTACGAGAAAGCTGCGGCCAGCCGCGTGGTGCTCTTTGAAGAAATCCATGTTTTGCATGGCAAAGCCTCAAAGAGTCGCTCCGAGCGACTCACCTCCGACTCCGATGTTCGCTGGGCGGCTTTTCGGCCAAGAAACGTTGATGCCACCATACTTGGCCACCGAAAACCGGCAGGACGTGGAGCTCACACAAAGGCCACCAAGCCTCACTCCATCGGGGTCTTACCGGAGAACTGGACAACGGCTGTGGGGATCGACATGGAGGGAGGACTAAGGAAGCCAAGAGTTCTGAGGGGGGTATATTATTACCTCCTGGTTCCCAACCCTTGAGACCTAGGAACTACTGTATGCATCCTTTTAGCCTCCTTCAAGATCGATCGCGCACGTTCCCCGGGCCGAACCCGTCCGCTGTAGGGCCGTTCCCACCGAGGGGCACCAGAGCGCCCGCCACCTGCACGTCGGCGTCGCGGCGGAACTTGGCCATGGCGGTGATGACGCTGGGGATGCCGCCCAGGTCGAAGATCTCCTGCCTCAGTCAGCCGGAACAAACGACAGGAAACACTTGTGGGGAAGAGGAATTGAATTTGAATTCATTGGAAGATTTCAAGAGAACTTCGGATCTCTGGAAGATTCTGGAAGCAAAATTAAGGCACGGCAAATCATGTTTCTTGCTTCGATCGTTTTTCAGGACCTGTCGGTGCTCCCTTTCGTTGAAACGACGTCGTTGAACCGAGTGCCTGCCCTCTTTGGTCATGCACGAAAGAGCATCCAGGGCTGCTTGTTGCACTTGTCGAACTCGCCTGGTTGCATGGTACCGTTTTGGTGCAACAAACGGAGCAACAACTGGTGCAACAAACTGCAGTGCAAACTTGGAAGCTTGTATTGCTTTCGAAACTGACGACTGACGTGAAATACAATAATTCAATGATGTTGCAGTTCACTTCATTTTCGTCACCACCTCACTGCCATAATATGAAGATAGGATACGATAGGTATCTGGTAGGGTACAGGCCGTGCGCCTGTGCTCTTCCAGCGCTTTCAGCAAGATCGGCACTGCGCCATCTGCCTAACGGACCAATCACACCCCAAGTTGGTGAGAAATCACAATTTTTTTATATGATGACAATGTATGTATGTCAGTCATTCAGGAAACTCTCACATGCTGATATGGCGTACCCATATATGTACCCATATCATGCCTCACATCCATTGATCCTCCTCTTCTAGTCTAGTCAAGCTCGAACAAGGCGGCCTTCATTCGTGCAACATGGCTCTTCTGCTCTCGGCAAATGGCCTCCCGCGTCCCACCGCGTCCCATGCAGAGGAGGAGGGAGTGGCACATAGTCGTGTCACAAAAGACTGGATCATTCACCCTGAGAATCTGGATGATGAGCCCAGATGAACAGGATGATGTGTGTCTATGTGTGTCTCAAAGCCAGTGGAAATATGTGGAAATCCAAAATCTGCATGGACAAAACAGAAAAAGCAGCTGGCGAGAGCATTTGAACTGTCCCGCTGAGTTGTGGAGAGCAATGAGCAAGACCCTAGCCTATCCTGGCTCCTGCATGTGCTTCTGAGACATGAACGCTCACATGGTCAAAGAAATACAACGCGAGACTCAGGCAACTACGAAGGGTCGATTCACCGTCTAGGGCACCTCCACGGCAAGGCAGACTTTATGTTGAATCGCGGCCTTTTGCAGGAAGTCTGATCCCATTTGCAAGACTTGCTTTGAGTACCTCAAGCACTTGCGGGAAGACCTGCACCTGGGGTGTCAGGCCTGGGGGTTCTTCCGGAAAAACGACGAGACGCACCTCGACATCACCTCGCACCTGGACATGATGTCCATCCAATCATTCCATCGGTGTCCATCGGTGTCCATCGGTGTCCATCGGTGTCCGGTCCATGAGCGCTTCCAAACATCCAAGTCATGAACACTACAAGGAACAAGGAACATGAACATCCAGTCTGTGTCTTGTTCCTAGTAGTAACATCCAAGTCTGAAGTCATTTCCAAGTCATGAAAAGCACTGAAGTGGCGCACTTGAATGCCTCTGCTGGCGGCGAGTCCAGCAACCTTGGCGAGTCGCGGTTAACCGGTTCACCGCCGGGCGGCATGGCGAGTCCGTGCTACAAAGCCCAAACGACCGGCGTTGACACAAGTTCACACGATCAGCCTCTCTATGGCCCATTGGCCTTTAAAGAACCACATAATTATATAATTGCCTTCGAGGTCTTTGTTCTTCCCTATTCTTGCCTCCATGGTTTAAGTATGTTTAAGATGTTTAAGTCTTCACCACGAACCCACGGATGACCATGACCCGATGCGACAAACCACGGGAACCGTGTTCGGGACCCGGTGCCGAGGAACACATCGAGCAGCTCCAAAGCACTCCGATGCGCGTCGCCGTCCTGACGTCCGTTCGGGCGAAGTCAGACTGTCAGACCTGGTCGTTTTCGCTTGGAGGCTCAAGACGCGGCGGTTTCACGAAGAAGATGGCCTTGAAACTGAAGGATCGTTTTGGGTGCAATCTGAAAATAATACGTTCGGACAATGATAACATTGATCTGGGCCAAACAATCTTGGACTGCTTGGCGCAAAGGTAAATCTGGAGCACCTTCGCCGAATGAGTCCGGAGTTGAACAAAACAAGATGCCGCATGGATCACCTTTTCAACCTCGCCCCTTCTTCAATGCACAGAGTCAAAATGTGTCCTGTTGCCATTGGGTCTCGACGGTGTGTTTTTGGCGAGAGCGTCCTTGGTGACTCAGGATAGAAAAGCCCTGCTGGTCTAGTCTGTTATTCTTATATTACTATTTGGATGCCCTTAGAAAAGGTGCAATTTCAAGGGGGTCGGAAAAAGTGATTACAAACGACCTAGAGATGAGCGGTACTATATATGCAGTGGATAAACGGTAGTGCGCAGGGGTGTTAAATCTCTTCCTTGTGCTGTCTCTCAGAGCAATTGGCGGTTATCTTCGCGAAGCCGCCTGAATATCTTTGCACATCTCCTGCTTGGGGCCTGGAGACAATGCACCACATGGCCCTATATAAAGGAGCACTGTGCCCGGCCCAAAAAGGAATAGCTTTAAGGAAGAACACGTCTTCCCCATCTTTCCCTCCGATCTGTCGCTTTTCGACTCCAGGATCCCGCCGAACTGAGTCCGAACTCCGCGGATTTCGTGTCGCCGGGGCGTGAGGATGACGGGATTGATCCACTTCCCCTTGACCCACTTCCACGGTGCCTTGAGCCGAAGATATGAGGAAATCACATCGATGTTGCGCTGTTGATATGAGGAAATCACAGCCCCCCGCGCTAAAGATATGGAAAGGAAAGCAAGAATCACAACTCTTCAGTCGTCCCCATAGCATTGGCCCGGCCTACCCCGACGATTCATGGCGAGTCGTGACCCGTCGAATGCCAGGAGTCTGCGTCGCAGCCAACCACCCAATGCCAGCAACGTCAAGAGCGCTGGCGCAAAGGCAAGAACCCACTGGATGGGTCCTTCAGCAATACAGAACCTGCACAACACAGTTGGAATAGAGCGCCAGGACATGAAAGTTTCAGGGTTGTGATTTTTACACAAGACATGTTTTTTGGAATTCCCTGCCTATTATAAATGCAACAAAATACATGGTACGAAGCTCGAAAAGGCCAAAGACGACCTTCGTTAATCGTTTCCACGTGTAAGCCCAATTCAACAACTGAGCTCTCGACCTGCCCAATGGAGGCATCTCCTCACACCCGGTCGCAATGGCTGCCGTGACCAGGGCCAACAAGGCTGCCAAGACCAGGAAAGGCAAACCTAGCAGCAAAAATGGACCAAAGCTTGCAGCGGGAGAATCTTACCCCTACAACTAAAAAGGAAGCCAACGGTGTTAACAAATGAAGACCTGGTGAGCCGATGTGGAGACCTGAAGAGCTGATAGTCCATCGAAAATGCCACATGATGGAGTATGTTCTGCTATTATCTATTTTCCCTTGTACCACACCTTTGAGGGTATCTTCGGAGATTCCTTCATTCTGAGACAAATCCACGAGTCACTAGGACCACACAATCTGGGCCGTTCGAAGCGGAGACGAGAGCCAAGGCACATCTGCTGCAGGTCCGCACTGAACATGAACACCTGGAGATTCGACCATTCACGGGGTTCGCGTTTTGATGCAAAAGGCCTCAGGATAAAGGAAGGAACAAGGTTCTCCAAGCAATGAGTAGATAGTCGCAACTGTTAGTCTCAAAAACATGTTTAACCCCCCAAATACTTGCGTCCTCAGAAGAAAGCCATACGTCCAATCCAACTGGCACCTCCTGCTCTCCGCGTAGCTCGGCTTCTCTTCGTCCACCTGAGGAGGTCGCTACACTCGTCACTACACTCGACAAGTTCGAGCGAGGCAGAACTTCCCAGACCGACTCGAGTGAGTCCCTCAAACAGAGAATCACATAGAGAATGGCATGAGTTTCCAAAACCTATGAAGCTGCAGGGGATGTCTGTCTCATGCTTGGGCATTCCTCAAGTTCAATTCCAATGACTTTCTGATTGAAGATGATCGAATCTGGCCTTGGGCTTGCCATCTGCAGCAGTTCTATCCGCCTCACGCACAGACATGCTAAGTTACAAGCCATGCAAAGAATGCAAATACATGGCTAGTTCTTCTTGAAATTTCTTGAATAAGAAGACGACGCCTTCCAATTGATCATGCATGTTCCAAACATCCATGGAAATCATGGAAGTACCTTTGACATCCTTTGACGATCATTACTCGGGCACTCCATGAGACTGCCATATAATATGCCTAGACATTGGGGTGGCTTTGGGGGGTCAATGTAAGCATACATGGCAGTCCCATTAGTCGTGTCTCCGCCCAGTCCCTGGCCTCGAGTGCCGCGAAGGCCTCTCCAGCTTCCGGAGCCGCCTTTTGGTGCGTTGACGGGTGTGCACTGCACGGTCGTTTCGGATTGGGGGTGAAGATAAAACCAATTAGACCTTTTTTGGGTGTCTCACCATTTTAGACCACAAACATATAGCATCGACCGACCGAAGAAAAAGAAGACACAAAGAGATGACTCAGTCACATCACAAGGTGCAAATGGTTTGGTCTGATGAACGGCTCGATAAGTGCAACACATGGGTGACAAGAAACTGATTAAGCCTCCTGCCTCAAGCAGAAACAAAAGAAAGCGATGTGAGAGGTGTCCAACCGGATGACCTTTCCAAGACTCCAAGACCCTCCGGGATGACCTACCCTTTCAGTCCATCCGGTAAAGCTTTGTTTCTCCGACTTCCAGGTCTAGCCGAACCAAAAAACCATGACCATTAAGAATCAAAGAACACCAAATCCAATCGTCTGAACCGACGAACACCTCCAAACTGGGCCGCCTCCGGCTCGGACCCCTCGGACGGGTCGCTGTCCAGCTCCAGCGACGCCTGGCAGCGCACAGCCGCGAAGGAAGGAAGGCTCAGTTCGAACGGTCCGCAGGTCGAACGATCGTCCTTGGGTTTTGGGGGGAAAAAACAGTTTGCTATAGTTTCAGTTCAGAACATCATGTCATATCCATTACTAATATTGATCACCTATATAACTATAGCCTTGAAAACCGCAGTATCATGAAGCCCATCCATTCCATCCATATCTTCTGCGACGAAACTCGGTCTTCCGCGACTTTTTGGACCACACGGTCATCCGGTCATCACGTGAACGTGCGTCTTCCAGGTGAACATGCACCGACCAGATCAGCCCGCCGCGGTGAAGGGATAGATGGTTCAAAGAAGCAACAAAAACAAGCAAAGAATCCTATATACGAAGGTCAAACCAGGTGGGAACACTTGTGATTTTCAGCTTGTGGCGTCATTTTCTTCCACGATGGGGACAGATTGACAGGCCAGTTTCTGCTGGAGTTGGTGACACCTTTCAGCCTCCGAGCGCAATCTGATTCCGATAAGGATTCAACAACAATGGTTAACTAATATGCATGGTGCATCTAGCTTGCGGCATTGCCAAGCTTTGCCTTGAATGTGTCTTCTTCAGTTTGGTCCACAAGCACCTGAAGTTGGTTGGGACGACCAGCACCTGTCTATAGTCAGGACTCAAAAAGGCCTTGAGTGAACTCATTCTGTCGGATTCTGATCGGATCACACGACCTGCGCTGTAGCACTTTGCAGCGCTGTGGCACTTTGCACGACGCACGGGCGGTCAAAGGAGGTTTGCGCCGAGCACATACAGGACCCAAGCGTAAGGATGATATACCTCAGCCGGGCTGCCGAATGGCACATCTGGCTTCGTCCGGGAGTATCGCCCAGAAACGCCACCGCCACAGGCTCTCCCCCCAAAAGTATTGTGTAGACACAAAAGGCCGAATCCAAAGGTCAACGCCTCAGCCCCTCCAGAAACAGAGGAACAAATGACACCTCTGGGCGCACAATCAGTAACTCCAATGTAACTGAACAAAAAAGGCATTTGCTTCTTCCCCTGCAACCCGTCCCCAGCTCTGCGGCCATGGTTCTCCACTGGTCTCGGTGTCCAACTTGCACTTTGCAAGCATGTTCTCATCACTTTTCTGTGCACCTAGACAAGTCAATGTTGTGGAAGATCACATGTCTCGGAGAACCGCTACAACCGCTTTGAACGGCCAAGACATCTTGGGGAAGAAAAAACACTCTATAAACAAAATGCGTTGGAGCTGACTTGAGAATTCATCATCACACACGAGCTACAGAGTTTTGCTTGCCTGCCACATAGGCCATGCGCACTGGAGAGAAGCAAAGCTGTGCCAAATTCTGCAGGTTCCTACAAGGGCGAAGTCAGCTTACTTGCAGGCCAAAAACGACAAATCATGGGCCAGCAACAATTGCATTGAGAGGACTCAATCAAGCCTTGCAGGATCTGTCCACATCGAACCATTCCCTCAAAAGCCTTGCGCAGTCGCGGCTCGGGAGACGCGACTGCGCCACCCGAACCCAACCGCCTCCAGCCAACCAGCGCCACTAATCTGCGAAAGCCCATGGAGTCCTGAGGCGTCGCGAGACTGCGGCCACTGAAGAAGACATCTTTTCGGTAGAAGACGATAGAAAGGTGATGAAAGCATTTTAGACTAGACCACCATCGAGTACCAAGGCATATCAAGTATAGCACCACCTTAATCTTCGCTCCCAACGGGGTTAGACAACTCATTCGTGGATTCCACTGAAGATCCTGCGGCTTTTTGTCTCGGTGGCCAAAGGCCACCAATCGCGCCCGATACACAGAAGATACACAGCATTACTTTGAGTCCCATGACAAACAGATCTCTCCAAAAGCCAGTCAAATCAAAGAACATATGATGAAAGGCGATGTATGTCTGGCTCGACCGGTGATCTTTTAGCCAAAGACGAAGAACCCGATTCCCACAACAGAGACTGCGGCCAAGTTGCTGCTATGGGTGTTGGCAATGCATAGCAAGAGGCTGCTGTGCCATCAACTAGGAGAGTGCCACATGCTAAAAGAGGCGCAAAAAGGCCTGGACGCAAGGGCCATAACCATTCTGTCGGAGCACATTGGGGTGAATTGGTCTATCATGCACTTCTTCCAAATGGACGGGAGTCTAAGTCTCACCACTGTATCGAAGGAAGACTAGTCTGACATGAGGGTGAAGGTAGGTAGCTATGCCTTTCGGGAAACAATTAGGAAAGGAATTGCAAAACATCTTGGAAACACTACACTTGAGAAGCATCTGAAAAGAAGCACGGATGGCTTGAGAATTTGATCAAAATCCATCGCCTTGATTAGGCATGTTATTATGAAGGTTAAATGCAGTTGAATGACGATGAGCTTGATTTCCGATGTATCCTGCCTTTTCTCCTCACTGTGTCGATGCGCAGCACTTCGGGCTTTGCCACGCTTCCATCCACCTGCCAAAAAGCGGATAAGTGAGGTTCCTATACCAAAGAAAACTGATGAGATGCTAAATTTCTAGACCAGAGCGAACAAAGGGCAAACACATAACACAAAGCCTCGACAAATCGTCATCGTTTGCCCAGCAAATCGGCAAATTTTCAACATTCCAGATTCATATCTGTGTGGCCCACATTCCCTGATATACTCTTTCCAAGAATCTTTCCAAGTATATATTAATCTTTGTGGCCAAATACTGTCTTTGTTTGCCAAGCTTTCCTTGACATACTCTTTCCAAGACAGTCTGCCACTCAGTGTTTCTCAGTACTTGATCCAGGTCCCGGGCCCAGGGCGCAGCCAACCGGTGCCCTGGGCGCACGTCCCGCGCCACCGTCGGCGCAAAGGCTTCGGTCCCGGCCTCCGGTCTCGCAACACGAAGCGTTTTCGGAAAGGGTTGGATGAGACACATGGTGAGGTATTTAGCAAAAGCACATGCCATCGCGATTTTCGCCACAAATGGCTGGGTTGAATGAAGTGCAATCGCTGGCCTTTTGTGCGAAGAGAAGGTGGCCTGCTGTGAGTTCCAGCTTGCCTGCAGTGCACGTGCTAGAGGTTTCGCTTGCGAATCTCACAAAACCTGTTGAGAGCGCTTGCAAATCCTGGAGTGCTGCGAACTCAACTCAGTAGCTGCTTGGTAGTCTAGACTGTCTTCAGGTGCAAAGATATTGCAAGGGATGCGCAAAAAATAAACACTTCCATGCGGAGATCCCGAAACGAGTGGCATTCTTGGCTACAAGTACTAGCAGGATACTAGCCGTCCCCAGGTCCCAAAATTCCTGGCTATTTATTTACCAAAATAGTCTTGCATCCAAGCCGTACGCTCCACACGGAACCCGCCTTGTTCATGGGTGATTTGAAGGACCTCCGCTTCCATCTCCGGTGCCCGGTGCAGGAATGCCACCACCGGATCAAAGCGAAGCTGCCACGTCCCGTCCTCATCCTGAGGAAGGCGGAAGGCACGCGGGGGCTGCGAAGCGTCCTAGGATTGAAGCGTCCTACACCTACCCACATCGTGATGTTGTTTTCTTGTGACGTTGAAACGACTATGACTTTGCGAGGAATGCCTCAATTCTAGAGCAAGCATGCGTTGCATGATCTTTTGTTGTGGTTGTTGTTGTTGTTGTTGTTGTGCCGATTTCCTTTGTGTATCCCAAAACCATCAGATGCAGGCTTTGTAACTACACTCTTCATGCATTACCTGCATCCTGACAAAAGACCTCTTCGTTGACCCCTTTGTTGATGCATTGAAAAATAAACCTAACCCACCTCGTCTTTTTCTACTCACAGATCATCATCCCACCAAATGCAAATCCGGTGGGTGGCCCATCCACCAGGCGTGCTGTGCTGCCGGCACACTGGGATGGCTGCCCAAACATGATCGCCTACACGAAGCTGTGAGAGGCAGACTGCTCCGCGGCCACGCGCCATGACCTGCTTTGGTGCCGTGGTTTTCGTTTGGGGTTTGTGAGTTCAGGAGCTCCCAGTTCTTTGACAGTTTGATGCAAGCACTTGCATTGTTTGACAGCGAACCTTGGAATTGCCAGGGAAGCAGAAGAGCTCAAACTCGGCCTCGCAGAATTCTGCGCAACGTGCCTGAACCAAGGCAAACGATGTCATGAAAAAGCTCGGCGTCTCTGCGTTACCTCTTTTTGCGCGGTTTCTGCAAGCTCCATATATGGAGATTTCGAGCCCTGTCTATTTCATTGTGAAATTTGAAATACATGTTTGTACCATTGTGCGCTGATATGATGGTCAAACCAAATCCCAATGATGTTGGCTATTACGAAGCAATTTGTCTCGGAAACTGATCTCCCCATCAGGGCTGTGACAGGTCTGGAGGCCTTGTGTTGCAAGATATGCCAGAGGATGCAGGACACATCAGGCAAGAAGCAAGACTGCAACAATCTTGGCTTGCAAATGTCGAAGAATGAGACATGTGGTTCTTTGGTGGTTTTCTAAAATCACCCAGTTGAACACATCATTACAGTACCATCTATATATGTATATCTATGTGCTTCATGTTCTCTCCCTGACCCTCTCTTTCTCTCACTCTCTTTCCTTCCGTTACGACCGATCCCTGCTGCCTGGTTAGCTTTTTCTCCGCCTAATGCTGCATCCGCCACACCAAAAGCTCCGCTCTGATTGCCGTCCTGTAGAAAAACCATTGTGGTGTTGACTCGGTATTGACCACTGTCGTGTCCACCAAATCCAGGGGAAGAAGAACATAGTGTCACTTCGTCCCATCAGATCATCCAACTGGAGAAAAAAAAGAAAACTGCTCATCTGTCCTTGAGCTCAGGGGAGTCGCGACACGATTGCAAACATGCATCATAGCTTTCCTTAGGGGTCGCAAACACGCCCCAAACACGATCGCGTTCAGGGTCGTCGTTGCAAGTACGTCGCAGCACGTTGGTCAAACACAGCGGAGAGAAGAGGTGATGGGATGCCATGGTTTGACGGTGATGGGATGCCGGGTGCTTTTCATGACTAACTCATCAAACACTGCATAGACATAGATACTATTGTTCTGCTGATGCTGATTCTTAACTATATATATATACCAGTACATACGTCAAAGCTGGGCAACATGCAGCGCACATGATTTTTGCAAATCCCCGATGCAAAACGCGTTGGACGTACTGACACTGATTCAGACGTACTGAGTACCGACATGGATATTGCCAAATATGACTCATTTGACTTCCCTAACCAAAGGAGTGTTGTCCGACGTTAGCGGTTTTTTCTTGTTTCATTTTCTTTCAAGGGTGTGAGATATGATGGAAGGTCATTTTAACAACATAGAAAGATCGACGTCAATCACAAGCGCTTCGTAGATGTCTCACATATGACAAGTTTCTCCGCTCAGCTCAACCTTCTTGCCTGCAAAGCGAACGTGAAGCGAACGGGGATCTTGTTTGCCGAGCTGAAAGCGCTCTCAAACCCAAGCAAGTGAGACTTGTCCTCTCAAATGAATGTTGAAAATGAAAGCTACTGGGAATCCCATGATGCTTTTCTGTCCTTCTCTCAAGCCTCCAGGCAAACATGATGAAAATGATAACACCTGTCATACGGTATGTGTTTTCCGTCATACCTGTGTGGACTCCGGAGGACCCGTGTCACCAGAAAAAAACACCCCAGCCCACCGCATCCAATGACATCCCGCACCCATCTGAGTGGTGAAGGTCAAGGTGGTTCCGCCGCCGTTGGCGACGCCGGCCCCTGGAGCACCACCAGGAGCTCCAGGAGGGGGCTGCCCCTGAGGATATCCTGCCAAACGCGCGCGTGTGCCGGAACCATGTCCTCCTTGTCTATGTGGTAGCTAAAGTAAAATGAAAAGTATGATGGCCAGTACTCAAACCATCCAAACCCACTCATCAAAAGCAATGAGCCACATGAATCTTAGAATGCTGAGAAACTTCCTCCATGTGCTGGCGGTGCTCCATGGTAGCCACCGGCACCAGGTGGTCCCTGCGGTGGTGCACCCTGTGGTGGCGCTCCCTGAGGTGGTGCCTCAAAGGAGGTCCTCAAAGGAGACGAAGGAGTCGTGGCGGCCGCGTGACGCGGTTCGGGTGGACATTGGTGCGGTGCCTTCGGTTGGGGCCACGGGTGGAATAAATAGATCTTAAAAAATTCGATAGAAAGAGCCTTCCGACAACGTTACACAAAACTCCTCTATAGAATCAGGATCTCAAAAGCATATAGCTTCACTAGAAAACAGGGCACAGAATCAGGGTACACTATAGAATCAGAGTACATAGTTAGTCATCCCACAGATTATCGTTCCAGTACAAAAGAACTTTGGTACCTTTACCATGAGCCCCTAGATTATGTAGCGTTTATTCTTTCCAGGATCCTCTGCTATTGCTTGACAGATTCACATGCTTCAATGTCTTGGAATTGAAAAGGCATTGAGCATCGGAACTAATTAGGTTGAACTGGCTCGAAAAAACAATGACAACTCTGACTGAACGTTTGCAGCTTGAAATCGTTCTAATTCATGTCCTCAAGTTGCCGTCGTTCAGGAAAGCATTCTGTATTTTCCTCGTTGCCGCCCGAGGCACCTCAAATTTCAAGCTCAATGGAAGTCTGGTCGAACCTTGAACCTTCAAGCTACTTCGTGCACAAACACCCGTTGTACCCTCCTTCAATCCAGGGTCATTCAAACGTCATTCATGGCTACTCTTGCAAATCTGAGTTCTCTGCCTGTTGATCCTTGAGCAAGCCTCATATCCACTCTCATATCCTTATCATTCCTTATCCTTTGTGCTGACAATTTGTGCCACCCGCTTCGTGCTGCCCAGTCACGGAGAGGGCACTCAAATCCAGCAGCCCAGCTTTGCTCCAGACCTGGCCGACGTCGCGCGACGCTCGTCGCGACGCGACCCGACCTCGCGACGCGACCTCGTTCGCCGCGCCTGAGAGATGTCCAGAGAGACATTGAGATCTCCTAAAAGCTAAGACATTTGGGTGAAGGTGTTTTTCATGTGTTAAGGACAAAGGACAGGAGCAGAAACTGCAAAGCACAACCAAGAAAACAAGAGATCTAATAAGAACCTGCATCTGCTGAGGTTGTTTCTCAGCCCAAAAAACGTCTTTGTTTCAAGACCTTTCCGTCACGTCTTTCTTAGATTTTCAGCCAAGACACGGTCTAAGTGCCCGAGCGGCATGTTCCGGTCTCACCAGCCACGGTCGACCATGAGGGGACACGGTGACCCATGGCTTGATCCAAATGCGCGGAAGGCGTTGACTGTTGACCGCTTTCCAAAGGATTTACAGGGAAAGAACACAGGTCTCTGTTTGAACTATCAAGAAAAGGTGGACCTTGAGTTTACCATACTATGCTGCAAACTGAGACCTGTTCAAAATCAATGTGGAAAAATGAAAAATGATGTTTCCCGGTGGCTCGAGCCTTCGGCTTTGGATCGCTCCGAGCACTCTTGGGCCGGGCGAAGAGGGTGTCGGCGAGGCCATCCTGGAGTGAAAGAACTGAACATTCGGGACAACCAAATGTATAATGAATATTAATGAATTATATACTTCAAATATCCCTAAATCCAACGCATCCCCCCAAACTCCTCCTGCACCATTCTCCTGCCCTCTACTTGCTTCAACCCATGCACCCCCCCCCGGAACCTGCTCCGCCAAGTCCGGCACCACGGTTGCAGCTGCAGCTGCGCCGGCGGCCGAGGTCTTGGATCCCTCGGAGGCCAAGGACTCCGTGTCGCGGCGCCGGGCGAAGAGGCTGTCCACCTCGGCGTCCCACCCCGTAGTGGACCGCGGGTCCGCGCGGGTCGCCGGGTGTGGACTGCGGAGTGGTGGCCGAAGTGCTGCCGGGTTCACACCGATGGCGAACCGGTGTTTCCGCGCTCTCAAATGGAGAGAAAGCGCCCAGGTGTTAAACGGACCAACGGAAGCGTTGAACATGTTTAAGTGACTCAGAGACACAGCTGTCTGCGTGCTCTGTGCTTTTCTCCACCCACCTGAGGCGAGGACGATTCCTGCTTCCTTGTGCAGGGAGGCTTCCTTGGATGCACATCGAACCTTTGACATCGTTCAAGGCAAGGGTTTTTGATGTTCTGGAAAACCATCTTGCCATGTTTTCCCCATAGTTGTACTCAACATGTAGAGACGTCAGGCTCCGTTGCTCTTGCAAGGCGCCTCATTAGGCCATAATGTCATCCTCCTAAAAGGGGGGAAACCCACAGCCACTTGGTGTTGCTTACCCATCCTCCCAAATCTGAGTGTACTCCCTTGCAGCCACAGTAGATCCCGATTCTAAGCAGAACGGAGGGGTCGCGTCGTCTCCGTGGGGTCGTCTCCGGGTCGTCTTCGTCTAACCAACGAAAGCCTCTGATAGGACCCCGGAACTCGTCGAGTCCTTTACACAGCACGTTTGCCAGAATCGTACCCTTTCAAGCAAAGGCCCCTTGGTGACTCAAAGGCCCCAACAAGAGCCAAACACAAATAGTAAATTCTCGATCTATCATATACTGTATCCTTCCTATCACATATATATATATATAATATCATGTATATATAATATATCTATAATATATATATATATATACTATATATTATATATTATCAAGTGTCAAGTATCTATCTATCATAAATATCTTTTGTCAATCTTTGCCATATGATGCCATATGATGCCATTATGTAACTTCTCTTCATCCTCTCGGCCTCCCCTCCGCTCCGTACGCGTCCGGAGGCCGCCGAGCGTCCATGCGCCGCTGGTCGGGCGTCGCCTCGGCCCAGTCCATGGCCTCGCAGGCCTCCACGGTCAGACTAGCCCATGGGCTCCGAAAGGTGGCGAAACCAGTGAAAGTGAAGAAAGAAGCAACAGCTAGGCTATGTAACAGCAAATTGGTAGGGAGGATGGAAGGCATCAATTCCTCTATAGGCATAGGATTCTATCTCTTTCATGACTTGCCTTCCAACAAAAACTGGTTCATGGTCTAAAACCCCGATTCTTGCGGCCGCCAACGGAACGTCGTCCTCGTCCACCGCGATTTCCTGCGCCATGGCCTGGAGGGCTGAGCCATGCTGAGCAATCGGAAATTGGAGAGACACGTGCGGCACGGCATCCGTTGCATGGATGTGTTTCTTCCAAGAAATCTCAGTTGAGAGACCCCACCTTTCTTTGGTTTGGCTACTTTCTTAAGCTATCTTCTCAATTCGCTTGCTGCGAATTGGGTGGAGAAGGAAGACACCCCACCCTGGAGGCACAGAGTTGGGCGGAATTGCTCCCATCCGGTGCGATTTTGGAGCACCTGCGGTGTTTACCAACACCGATTCAAGGAAAACCCAGGCGAAGAAAATTAGGAAGACTGTTTTGGTTCTCCCCACAATCGAGAAGTCAGAAGTCCCTTCCCTTGCTCAACATCACTTAAGTAGACATGGGGCAAAACATGTAAAACAAACACACAGAAAGCCATTAAAAATCATGAAAAAAATCCTATATACCATAATGTGGTCATGGTTCCCTGATGACAATCGGTGGTCGGTCCGCCATCGGCTCCCTGCCTCCACAATCTGCCGTGCGCCATCGCGATCCAAGCTGCTCAAGGAACCTCGCAAGGCCGCCGAAACCTCGACACGGCCCACCTCTGGGGATCGGCACAAGCGATCGTTTCATGCAACGCATGCGTCGCCACGTCTTCGCTCAGTCTGGTCCAAAGTCACCACACGCCAGTCGCCTTGTCACTCGTTCCGTCAGTCACCACACGTCAGTCACTGGTAAACCAGGGAAGTGGTAAACCAGGGTAAACGCCGCCGCACCCCCACGAAACAACGCGACCGACCGACAACAGAACGAATCGCATCACTCGATGGACGATCTGCCTTCATCGCTCCTGGAGCCTCGTCGTGCAACAAAGAGTCCATCCATGGGACGCGAGGCCGCCGTTGGGTCGTGCGCCGTTGGGTCGGCCGTGGGGGGAAATCCCGGAACGACGGAACGACGGTCGGTGTCTGCCGTGTTTTTTGGTTCCGAATTGTGATGGTTGCAAACGCGGTCTTTGGACCTCTGAAAGTTTGCAAAGAACAAGTTGTTGCTTTGTTTCGGCTACATTCCAGTAGTGAAGCTTTTCATGTCTATCTCAAGAAAGGCAAAAACACCCCGAGGGAACCTGCAGTCCACGTCTCGCCCCCCGACACCCGTTGCTGTGGTAGCCAATATGTGGCAAAAGCACCCCAAAAAAACATGAGCCAAAGCAAGTCTCACCACGCGTTTTGGTGGACAATTCAGGTCAGGATGGTAGAGTGTTGGATTAGAAAGTTGTGAAACGTGAGATGCGAGACACGCCCGGATGCGATCTGAACCATGCTCGACTAGCTTCTCAATATGATGCAAGTGATGACTGTAGCTCTCTACCATTGATGAATGTGTGCTGCAGCAAGTATGGACGGGCAAATCAAGCTCCATCTGAGACCATTGCTCAGGTGTCATACTCCTTCGAACAATAATATCCTCTTCAGGGTTTGGAATCAAAGTGATCTTTGACCAGGTTAGGGCTGTGTAAGTTTTGGGGGAGTGTGCTAGTGCCTGACTTGTTTCATGTCACCTTTCGGTGAGGTGTGTTCATGGATCCTTTTTCCTCGGGCACATTCGTCAGCCTGGCATGGGTTGCTGTGGACAAACCACACACTAACCAAGCCAACAAACACAGGGATCACGTGGCAAGGTCCAGGCTGCCTCAGTGCTTGGACTAGGAGTATTTCTAAAGGGAAAACATAAGGAAACAAAGAAAGAACGGCGCAAGAAAGGTGACAAGATCAATCACCTGTTCTATCATTTAATTGCGTGACTCCATGACCTCCATCATTTTGTACCTCCATGGACAGCAGATCAGCAGATTGCGCCTCATCTGCGGTAGGCGCTACTGCCAGCCTCCTAGAAGCGGAGGAGGCATTTTCACCAGCAACAAGCAAAGGATTCGGCAGTTCCCTCCAACCAGGTCCATGAGGCACTCCCTTTAACTGACGGGCGGGTGGGGCCAGCAATGACTGCTGAGATTCGCTGCATCCCCAGAGCCCTGATCAAGGTGCTCGTTCCAGTGGCCTACAGTGGAATTAGTAACCGTTGGATATAATCCGGCATTCCAAAATGCACGAAAATGACTCTATTCCAATAGGTGTGCTGTATCCTTGGCGGTGGTGCACCACTCTACTTCCAAGCACAATGAAAGTTGTTTGATGTCAGCAATGTCTGCTTCAATGATTGATCTGTCACGATCGTGGAGGATAGCCGGATTATCCTCTGACTCCCATCCATTCGTCAGAATTCTTACCATAGAGGGGCCCCTTAAAGTTCGTAAGCTCAAGGAGAAATTGACGTACACTAGAACCAGATTGGTGAACAACAAGCCCTTCCCAGACCAACAAGTGAGGTTAGCGATCTGCTTGAGTGTATGTATAGATGGTGCTGCTCTCTCTCTCTCTCTCTCCGCTCTGTTCAGTGTCTTAGAGTGCTTTCGACCAGGTGGGAGAAGAAAATTCTGAGCTCAGCAAGAGAGAATTGGTCAATTGGCATCTGTTGTCTTTCATTGGCATCTGTTGTCTTTCTCTCACCATTTCATGTACCCAGTCCTTGTTGGGCAAAAGCCAAGGCCTTTAAAAACAAACAAAAAGCTACAGTAATTCCCTACTGCAGGCTCCACTTCTCTGTCTTCCCTCTTCCGGCTTAAAGCTGCCTTTGCCACCTTTGCCTTTGCCGCTCTTGCTGCGCTTTTTGCCTTTCCCTTGTTGGCCTCCTTGCAAACAGCACGAGTATCTGAAAGGGACGCAGGAAACCAACCAATGTTGTAAGCCCATGCAGGGAAGCAGGATCCTTCGCAACGTAATTAGGCCATCGGCGGCTTTGAGCAGGGTTCTCAAGCACTTGCAGGAAGACATCTGTCCATCGTTTCTATTCCACCCTCATGCAAAAAAACACACACTTCACCCGTTTCCTAGACTCTTGCATTGTGCATGGTCTCAGCATCTTCAGGAACTTTCGGAGAAAACAAAACGCCTCCACCTCCTGCCACACCACTCTGCAACGCCTCAAAAAATGGTCGACCGACGCTGCACTGATAAAGAAACAGAACGAGACCGAGAAGTTAAAAATACGGTAAATGATTGTAAATTCCAGTAATAAATTATCGTATTGGTAGGGTACATGGAATATAGTCACTATATTGGTGTCTTACATCATTACGAACTCGATCTGTGTCTCCTTCTGTTAGGGCCGCGGTCTTCTGTGTTTGCTTGCTAAGAGGATTTGGTGACGAGAAAAATCAGAGTAGACAAATGCTCAGAAAATCTGCCTGTGTTATGCTGCGCTCGCCCAAAATCCCTTCCGGGTCCTATTCCGGGTCCTATACCCTATACCCTTTGGACGACCCCCCAATGGCCGGGATCGATCTTCCTTCGCGAACGGCGAACGCCGGCAGCGCGCCGCACGCCGCGCCCGAGTGACCTCTGCAGAGCCAAAGCCAAGCTCTTCCAGCGCTTCCTGCGGCGGGTCGAGCTGGCCAGCGAAAGCACACGAACAGGAGGAAAAACCACGGACCGAAGATGTAACTGAAAGATGTCATTGGAACACACAGTGTTTTTATGTGTTTTTATGTCTTTATCTTGAAGAAACTTTTCGTAGAGGAAGAATGAAGATGAACAGTCTTGGCAGGGGACAATTCCGTGCACTTCTCTTTGCTTAATGTTGGACTCACCAACCAGCTCTGCGAGCCGGTTCAGTTGGAAACACACCCAAGGTACCAGGGGCATCCAGGGGGCACACGATGTGAAACTGAACGACCCCGCAGAGGAAATCCTCCGGATCAACGTCCAACGTTTTTCCCCTAATCCTCATTCGCTCTCCTGAACTTGCTGGACAGTAGCACTGTTTCGCATCACCTCCTGAATGTCGAAGAGAGCTCCTGCGCTCCAAATCTGGCGCGCCAATTTTGCGCTAAATCCCGATCTGTAAAGTTCACGCTGTGCACTTGTGTTTCGGCAGTTCGAACTGTTTTCGACCTTCACTTACCGTCGTTCCCTCTCAAGACTGGGAGGGCAGTTGCCTTGCAAAAAGGCGCGGCCGCGGCGCTTCAGTGCGCCCTCTTGTTTTCGTGTTTGCGGACTTCGGGTGCCGCTGCTACCTTTTTCGCATTGGTAGCGGAGCCTCCTCCGGGGGGCTCCGAGTCCTTTGCGCGAAGAAGAACGAGGTTCTGCATAAGTCCTTTGTCACGAACCCTTGGCCGAGCTCTTTTGTTTCCTCGTTGAAGAGCCCTTTCGGTCTTGGCTACTTGTTTGAGAATGCCACCAACGACATCGGCTGCAGAAGGTTCCAAGGATGGTGACTACCTCAACCTGCGCGACTCCTTCGTTCCACTGTTCAGTGGACAACCCCAGGACTACAAAGAGTACAGAAAGAGGCTGATGCTCTACCACCACAAGATGAAGATCAGCAAGCGCTCAGCCGAGTCCGTCCTGAACATCCTGGGAAGTTTTCAGGGTGTGACGTGGCGGTTGTTCGAGGACTTCTCAATTGAAGAGGCTGAGAAAGAGGATGGCTTCAGCAAGATCATCACCAAGCTCGACAAGAATTTCGAGTATGACGATCGTGTGCTCCTTCCGAATGACTTTGAGGAGTACTTCAACTTGTTGCAAAGGAAGCCACAGCAAAGCCTCCTGTCCTTCGTCACCGACCATGACACCGCCTATCGTCGTTTGACTGCCCACAATGTGACTCTTCCAGTCCAGGTTCAAGGATGGCATCTACTCCGACGTGCTGCTTTGTCAAAGGAGCAACGCCAAATGGTGACGCTGAAGGCTCCTACGTTGGAAAAGAATCCTGTCATCGAAGCCCTGTACCTGCTGTTCGGTCAGGACTACAAAGCAGGCGGCTGGAATGCTGAACGTGATCGAAAGTTCAACCGCTGGAAGGGCCGCGGCTACGCCGCATTCGATGAAGAAGATGCCTACTGGTCCGAGCAACCCTGGACAGAAGACGCCTACTATGAGGCCGACGACTGGTATGATGACACTGCCCCTGACGATGAGGCTGACTTTGACTATGACGCCATCTACTACGGCGAAGAGGATGAACCTGGAGAACACCATGACCTGTCCGAAGATCCTCAAGAGTTGGCCGAAGAGTATGACCACGCCTATGCCACCTACTTGGATGCCCGGCAAAGATTCCAGCAGCTCAAGTTGGCTCGTGGCTACCTGCCGATCGTCGCCCTCACTGATGGCCAGAACGCTTCGCCCGCCTCTGGATCCTCTTCACCTTCGAAGGGCGCCGGCAAGAACAAAGGAAAGGGCAAGAGCAAAAGCAAAGGAAAAGGAAAGAATTTGGTGCGCTATCCACCCTCCTCAGGTGGAAAGGCTGATCCAAAAGGTCGTGCAAAGGCAACTACATGCCTTCGTTGTGGCCAACCAGGTCATTGGGCAGCGCAATGTCCACAAGGTGCGAAATCACCCTCATCGTCCAACAAGAGACCTGCACCCACTGAGGGTATGGCCTTGCAGAATGAGACCGCCTTGGTCCTGTTCCAGGATGAGATGGGCACCGACCGACCGGATGCCACCATGCTTGACCCAGGTGCATCTGCCTTCCTGTGCGGATATGGTCCATTCGGCCGCTATTTGAGCCACTTGCACTCCATGAACTACCCCATCAACACCATCCGCTTTGCTCGATGTGACCGCCAGTTCCATTTTGGTGGCGATGCATCCTCACGAGCTTCATGGACAGTGGATCTCCCGGCGATGATCGATGGCCAGTTCGGCACGATCCAATGCTACCTGGTCCCTGGCAACACGCCAATGTTGATGGGCCGACCTGTGATTGAGGCTCTGCACATGGGCATCGACTTCAGCCAGAAGCGCATTCGCTTTGGGCAATCGCCTTGGACCTCAGTGCTTGTGGGCCGCCATGGCGAGTACTTGTTGAGCCTCACCAC